ACACCATTCTCTTCAAATCTTCCACAGTTATGGAAAATTGCTAAATTCGGTCTTGATTTGGAAGATGGCTCTTTTCAAAAACTGCAGAAATTCTGCCTCATATTTAAATTTGCCTACAAAACAGTCACTACACTTTACAGAAAATCCTGTGAAACGCTTTGAGATGTCCTCCCAATGCGACAGCGCTATATTTGTTGTTATGCCTTTTATTTATTACTGTAATATTCACATTCGTTTTGTGTGTCATAAAGACTGTCCTAAAAACAGATATCACTGACAGGCACATTACGTGTTAAAATAAAGTCCTTTCTTTGTTTTAAACCCCAGATGTTGGCATTCACATCAGGAGAACTGCAGAGACAATCAAACTGCAGATTTTTTCTTTTTAAAAAAAACGCGTATTTATGTTGAAATGATCCAGACCATCGTCGGAGGAAACAGAAATAACTTCAAACACTGAAAGGCAACTTGAATGTTCTTTAGAAGAATAAATGCTGTTTCTTTTTAACATGAAACCTCCGGGACTATTTACTGGAGCCCTCTTTAGAAAATGAAATCAAAAGTATAATTCCAAAAGGGAACTTGAGATCGTAATTATAGAGTTGGAGAGTGAATCACTCCAGAAAATCTGGCATTGGAATATCGCTATTTCCTGTTATCGTGCTGCAGTTTCTTAACCCATTCCTTGTGCTAATTAACACATTGTGCCTTTTTTCCTGGTTCTCTGAGATCACATTCCTCTTCCCCCAACCCCTCTGCCCCACTTTGCGAATTAAAATTTTGCCCCAATGTTTCAAAGCCATGTTACTATTCACCTAGTGAGGGCTCACATCCACGCTTGTTGGATGTCGAACGACCACCTAGTTACTATCCTCCTTGGGTGAGGTGGTAACCGGGTCTCCTTGTAGCTGAACTGGCTCCAAGGTGACATGTTTGGCAACGGAATGCAGGAATCGAGCCAGCGCTCTGTGATGGTCTCAATCGTCCGGATCCTGAGCCGGACGGGTCTGTAGTACTCTAGGGCACCACTGGAGGCAGCACAGCCCAGCCTGGCTCATCGGCAGGACCTGGAAAGGGCCGACCAGTCACTGGGGGCAGGGAAACCTCCCGCTCAGCAAATGCTAACCCTGCAAGCCAATGCCCTAACGGGTAGGTTGGTCCTAGCTGAACAAGCAGAGGGAAAGCTTGCCAGGAAGCCATGCATTTCAAAACCAGTGACTTGACTTTCTCGAATCATAACTTTCTCGCGAGCCAGACCTGCCACTCAGAATTTCAAAATAACGAGGGTTCCTGGAATGTTCCATGACCTCAGACACTTACATCAATGCCAAGATCATGCAAGCATTGGCTGCATGTCATGCCTCAACTTTAAGTCATTGAAAACAGAGGAAATATCCTCATTGCAAAACTGCTTTAGCTTGGTTATGGATTCTAAAGAAACACGACACAAAAACTATCTTTTCTTTTCCCTGCAAGCGCCACTCCTGGTCTTTCCAATGGAAAGGATTTGTTGTTCAGAACTATCGTTTCATCTTTCTTCATTCCCTTTCATGTCTCTCCAAGCTTTTTTACTGTAACCTTGTTCTACGCAGTAAATAACATTGCACAGTGAAGTGGTTCACTTTGTCCTAAACTGTAATAGGCGGCACCAATTGTTCTTGTTATATTGAAAAAAATATTGGATTACTTAATCAGTCAGAGAAACACAAAGTGGGGGGAAGGGAAGAATGGGCTCATGGAAAGATTCAAGGCCAGTAGAGTAAGGCACAATTAGGGTGTTTTTAAATGGGAATTGTTGTTGAACTTTTCTTTTAGTTTGTTTTATAAAGATTTGGAATTTGGATTAAAAAAGTCAGAACATGGCAACTGCAATTGATGTGACATGTGCTCTAACACCACTGAGAGTACTGAGGAAAAGTGGCCCAAATAGAGCTGTTAACTCTTAGCTTACAGAATAAGTGTGAACATCACAGAGACAGCAACGCTGCAGAGCACCTCTGCTTTGACTGTTACCTCTATGGTTTGTGGTTGTGGGCGGAGAGGGTAGGAGTGATTCATGTTTGTGTGGTTCCATCTAATTGACAGAAATTGCTTGCAGGGAAAGTAGCTTTTCAAATTAGCAGATGGATGGCAATGGCTGAAGTGTATACAATTTATTATAGGGTTGGCAGAGCACGTGCAAATGCTGGATTTGGACTGTATCCCCCCACTTGTCAATCCCTTAGAGATTCAATTTGTGGAGAAACTAATACACAATCTGCCAGCATCTGACTAAACACTGGCAAGATCCAGGCTGAAATAAATACTCCCGTCTGAACTGGGAGAGGCATCTACCTGTATCCACCCACAGCGTCCGTTACACAGTGAATGAACCCATTTTCCAACACCACCTCCCACCCTCCCCCTCCCCCGCCCCCGCCCACCTACCCCCACTAACAATAGCTTCCTTTTTAATCCAAGACTTTAGACATGGAAAATCCCATTGAGAGGATGTAGAGGAAACAATTTCCTACATCAGAGCACAGTCTGCCCTGTTCTGATATAAGGTCCAAACGTTTAGTTTCCACCAGAGGTGACTGATTGTGACTGGTCTCCAAACGCAAACACCAAATGTTTTCTCAGAGCCTCGAGACACTGGGGTCAAAAGTGTGATTTCGCAAGCCTCAGTATTTGGCTCAGTTCCATATTGCTTATTTCACCAATTGAGACAAGGAATACTTAATAATAAGCCTTGAATTTGATACAGTGCCTTATCGGGTCGTTGAGATGTCTCAAAGCTCTTCACAGAAGATACGGCAAAGTGTAGTGACTGTATATTTTGTGGGCGAAACGCGGCAGCCAATTGCGCACAGCAGTGTCCCCACAAACAGTCGTGGATTGAGTAACCACATTATTTTCTAAGGGAATATTCCTTTTTTTATTTAATATTTAAAGAAGAATAAGACTGGATGTATACCACACTCTTTTTCTCTGCACTCTATATTCTGCCCTTATGGGTTAAGTTTCTTTCTCTCTCTCCCACCACCCCCCAAAAAAAAGCTAGCTGAACACTTTCTCCCCAAGCTGTTACCTCCTCCCATTTGTCACAGTTCCTGCAACCCAGTTCATAATGGGTCTCGAAGCAAATAGTGACAGTCAGACTAAAGCATCTTGTGAAAAGGTTTGTGCAAGAAACTGATGCAAAGTATAATTCAAAACAGCGTAAACAGGAGATTTGGCACAGACCAGCACATGAACCGGGGCTACTCCTAAGAGGATTTAAATGTTTGAACTATGAGAACAATCAGTTCAATTCTGCCTAAAGGAAGAATTTGTCTAGACAAGGAAATGATTGGTGTTGGAAATGGCACTGAATTTATGTTGATAGATTCAAGAGCATCACACTGAGAGAGCCAGAGAGTTCTGTGAGATTCTCAGATTCGTCATCTATTCGCAAGCATCCGTGAGTCAGTTTAACACTTTGCTCGATGTTTGGGTATAACAAAAAGACAAATTTGGGTTTTATTCATAAATGTATCAATGAATGAAACTGCAATGGCGGAGGCTGCACTGTTTAATAATGCATCGCAATGCTAAGACTCCATGTGTGGCAGCTTCACCCTTCCTCCACTCAGAGAAAGCAAAACAACCCTGCACATAGCTTCCTAAGGCACCACCACACAGACAGTTCCTGCCATTCACACAGATTTCAGTTGCACAGCAATTTGGCAATTGAAATAGTATTAGAATCAGAGGCTCGAAATTCTATCTGGCCTTAGCCTGCGAGACATTTTTGTCTTAAAATTTAAGATTTAAATTTAAGATTTAAATTTTAAATTTAAGATTTTGAATTTTAAGAATTAAGGAGAATTCTTCATGTCGGTCGTTAATTTGGAAGCCAGATCTCTGCAGTTCATAAATTCATGAATCAAAACTTGCTTTTTCCGGTTCTTTCACATTCACCATTTTCTCCCACTACCTCCTCAAGCTCTTATTGGTGCACATGTCCATGCCAATACCAGGACCTTAGGCCAGCGTATATTTGAACTTAAATAGTGTCAACAGTCTATTCCGCCATGGGGAAAAGAATCTCAGCTGAGCCCGACATCAGACCTCACACTTTGTGGAAGGAAAAGGGGGAAGAGAGTCATTGGATACCAACTAGGAGAGGAAACTTGGTTGATAGTCACCTTCTTAGCTCAACCTCAACCCAACTATTAAGATTTCAGCACAGACTGAGAATCCAACCTTGGTCACTCCACTTCACGGATCTGTACAGCACAGGGAAATGTACTTACCAACCGAGACATCAGAGGTGCTCATCAATACATTGGAGGAAAATGCTAGGAGAATATTAAACCACTCATAAAAGATGACTGCTTTGCCACATAGACACACTGGATAAGCCAAATGCACGCTTAAGATCTGTAAGCAATCCCCAAATTAGATGGATAGCTTTGCTATTGTAACACACAGCTCAGGCATGGGTTATGGAAACACCACAAGAGAACACTGTAATGCAAACTATGTGCTTTCAGTAAAATACAAACAGTATGTGAGATTAGTACACAACCCAGATACACAACTTGTACTCCTTGCTCTATTTGAGTTACGATGTCTGAAAATGAACCCGTGGCTTAATTTCTGAAATTAATCCGTCAAACTTTACACCCCGCTAAACTCAATTGACTTCCGTACCTTTCCTCATTACTGGTGCAGGCTCACTAATGCCAGCTGAACTGACATAGAGGGTAGAAATTACAGCACATGAAGTTCAGTCCTTTATACTATCAATGATGGTGCTCGCTCCTCCCCAAGAGCTATCTCCTCTAACCCCAATTCACTGTGCTTTCTTACCCCAAAATCTTTTAGCTACTATTTCACTTCAAATATTTATATCAACTCCTTATGTTAATTACGTTGCCAGCATCAGAACAGAAACGGCCAACTGCTGTTCCTATGAAAATCAATCTCAAATACACATGTGTTGTGTTTTTGTTTATGCCCTGACCAGCACTGACCAGGGACGGCTGTGGGTTTTGCAGGCACGACTCTCCGCGGAACCCCGGGATCTTTCTCCGCTGCCCGAGGCACATCACGCTGCACGTTATGTTGTACTTCGCATTGCACTTCGCGCTGGGGGTCTCGCTGTGCGTCTCGCTGTACCTCCCTCTGTGCCTCTCTCTGCACATCTCTCCGAACATCTCGCTGCACAACTTCCTCCTCCAAATATTGGGAACTGCGGAAAGAATAGACATACATTAACTGAGCGTCATGAATGGAGAGCATCGGAGAGAAAGAGAGAGAGACACAGAGACAGCATCAAATAAACTTCACTTTCTCCGAAGTTTGGCCATTGCAACCTTTTCATGTTTTAAGTGAATGATCGATTGCAATTCATCTTTAAGGTGCTGAACCTTTAGTTGTGAACCCCCAAGGCAACAGGACAACAATAACTTACATTTCTATAGCACCCCCCCCCCCCTCATGCAGGGTATCCTAGAGCGCTTGATACTGGTCTGGTGGTGCACAAATCTGAGCGGGGCGGAAGAGGGAAGGTGACCATAAGCATGGTTGAAGAGGAATGTCTTCAGACGCGATCTGAAGATGGGGACGGAGATGCAAGATGGAAGGATTGAGGGAGAGTGTTCGGTATGTAGTGGCTGAAAGCGCGACTACCGATGGTCGTTTAAGTATCTACAGAGCAAGTTACGACGCTACATAAAGGTGCACTGGTACAGGAGGAGGCAAGAAGAGCTTAAAAACACACAAGTCATTCCTGTTCTATCTGCGAGTGGACGCAGGTGCAGCAGTACCTTTGGGCAAATAGTGGGTAATAATATATGTGAGTGTCGGCAATCATAGAATGGTTTGTTATTTAAATGAAAAGCTTAACTTGCAAATCTGCCACAGAAGATTGTGTTTCACTGTGCAAATTCCAATATACCTTTCTTGCCAGCTGATGCCACGCTATGTGTCAGTCGCTAATGAAAATAAACTAATTCTATTTTCAACGTGGAGAATTAGACTAACTTTTGACTGAAGGAACAGTTTTCATCTATATTTAATAATAATAATAGCTCTTGCATTCGATGTAGCGCCTTATCATGCCTTCGAGATGTCTCAAAGCTCTTTACAGAATATAGTGTAAAGTGTAGTGACTGTGTATTTTGTTGTTTTATTGCTGATGTTTCATTGCTTCACAGTACATCAGTCTGGCCACCTGCACTTTGCAATGACTTTGCATGTTACTGCAGGGGATTTGAACCACAGTGATTGCCTCATTAGAAGTGGGGGGGTGCTTCTCATTGGGATCAGACTTTAGCGTCACAAGTGCCATTTTATTCCCCATGTGAATTATCCTCTGCTTTTGGATCTCGGCAGTATCTAATGCAAACAGACAGCAGATTCCAGTTCTGAATCAAAACTTGTTTCATGCAAAGGAATAATAATTTGGCAGGCCCTGGCACATAAACCGATTTGAGACCTTGCTCAGTCTAAAATCATGAGAGGATTATACTCAGTTCTGATAATCTCGACGCGAGCTGAAAGTGATTTTTATCAGGTTAAATTGCAATGGATATTTCTCTGCAGATGACATGTCAATAAAATGGCCAAAAATGTAGGCTGAGCAAAGCAGGGTATGATTCTGGGTCTAAAATGCCGGATTTCTTAGCAGGATTCTTTAATCGGAGTGGGCTGAGTTTTGTGGGCGAAACACGGCTGACAATTTCGCACAGTGGTGTCCCTCGAACAGTGATGAGATGCTCTGAGGCGATCATCAGACTTGGATCAGAACGAAGACAAGAAAATAACTAAAACTTCAGATGGATGGCTAGCACACACAGAAACCCACTGAGGGTTACTTATGCCAATGAAAATGTGTTCACATGCACACAGAGTTAACTGAACACACACAAAGCAAACACTTGCACAGAAGAAAAATGAAGAGTTACCTGTTCACTTCCACTCGATGAGCCTGTGAGTGACGCCAGTCAGCGTTCGGTTGTTTCACCTACAAAGAAATAAAAGAGTAGAAAGATTAAACCATATGTAATGGTTATTTTACTTGAGCTTTGACTGCAATCACTTTCCTCTCACCGCATTAGCAGAGAAAAGCTTTTGTCAGTCACCTACTTTAAGGTGAATAAAAGAGCCTTATTCAACAAGAATAGAAAAATATATAAAATCATCATTTTCTCCCTAAAATTTAAGACTGACTAACCATATGGCGGATTGACTCTGAAACGTTTAAATTTGCTGCGAGTTGCGTATTCCTGACATTTGTGGTGTGAACATGCTATTTATGAGGGGCTGTGTGGGACAGTGTGTTAGAGCTTTCACAGAGGGTGTCTCTGTCAAGGCTCCAACACACTGTCTGTTTCTATTAATTAACAATGGTCGGAGATTGGTCAGGCAAAGGCTTTGGGTTTTGCATCCTCACCTGTGTTATTCCTGATACTGTTGTTTATCTGACCCGTAAGGTTTTTTTAATGTCAAATATTTTGTTTTATATGACACACAGTCCACATCTCTCTCCTCATTCATTTTCCCTCCCTCTGCGGCTAACTTATGTCTTTCAGCTATTTTTAAAACTTTAAGTAGCTGAGCATCTTTTATTTCCGCTGCGCCAGACGGAATTTGTGGAGTCCGTATTTTATAATGAATTAATGCCATTAACGGTGTACTAATTGAAAAGTGGCAAACTTCTAAGTCTGGCATGTGTTGGAAGGATTATCGGAGTAGATATTTGCTTAGATAATAATAGCCTTTCTCTGCTTCATGTTTTGAGCTCAATTTTAAACCTTCCCAATGTCTCCTTCTCACAGCAGCGAGTAGAGGTTTGGAATGAAAATAGCCCTGTTTACAATGATTTTGTATGCGGAAATATAAGCTTTGAATTGTAACCAACCTATCTTCACAGAACAGCTAAAACAGCTTTGCGAGGTTTGACGTTAAGCTGGCACTGGCAGAAGGAGATTCACAGATGGCGTAAAGATGTAGCGCCCACTGAGTATAATCAGTCACTTGCTCACAAAAGGGTTTTGGCACTCAGGAGAATTTACCGTAAAAACTTTTACTTAACAAGAAACAGAAAAAAATCTTGCTGGGATAAAATGGAGGATTTTGTTTTGGATTCAATGATCCCCGGAAAGTGATCCGCCAATCGACCAACAACCGGGTTCTTACTTTCTGCTCGGTAAATATGGAGTATGTGGAGTAAGGAATCTTGTCTAAGGTTTCACCCTGCCCGGGAATTGAACCCAGTTCCTCTCGCTTGAGAGGCAAGTGTGCTAATCACTGCTTTATGTTGGCTAAGGCAAAATAAAATGTTTTTCATGTACGTTATCAGTTTTAAAGTTCTTGACAATTAATATTTTGAAGACGTCTATTGTTAAAACAGTGGTGGTAAGTCACTTTTTTCCCTGCATTACAGAGTTTTCCTACAGTTTTGTGTTAAGTGCTGGAAAGCCTAAATCCCTTCACTATTCAATGACCTGTTGCTCTTACTGACATAGATAAACAATGCAGTTGAGCCATTTTACTGCAGAGACACTTACTCTTTTGAACACATCACTAATCAATAATGGCTGGAAAACCTTGGGCCAAGTCTGAGAGGAGTCATTAAAGAAGTGTAAAGCTGATAGCAGTCTGCATTTAATCATTTGCTACAGTTAGAATAACAAGCAAAATACTGTATTACACCCTCCTAATTTACTGGTGATAAATAGACCATTTAATAACAACAGCAAATTAACATTGTTTTCTTCTACTATTTATCACTGGTCTTCTATTACCTTATTATTATTAATATTATTCTATTACTTTCTATCGGAAACGACAATTAAGATGGGATTTTAAGCATTTCCAAGATCTCTTTACTCTACATTTTGGCACAGATGTCCAATAAATACAGTCACTTAACACAAACACATCTTAATAATATAATCCTTAATATTGATATAGTTCCTTATCATATTGTTGAGATGTATCAAAGCACTTCAGAGCATATATTGTAAAGTGGATTCACTTTGCAGTTTGGGGGCAAAATGCAAAAGGGAAGCATTTTGATATGTTTTGACATGATATGGCACTACATGAAATGCAAAAAATATTATTATGGCTCGTTAGTTTTTGAGGACATTTTGCACTTAGTTGTGTTGAATTTTGCATTTGAAGTTTCTCACCAGTTTTGCACACACACACATGATATTGAACGTATCTGAATATTTCTGCCACAATGAGCGCTGCAGTACCTAAAACTGCATCTGCATCGAGTCGCTCTATAATAAGATTATTATCCCCGAAAGGTGATCCGCCAATCAACTAACAATCGGGGTCCTGCTTACTGCTAAGTAAACAGAGGCTTGTGGAGTGAGGAAACTTGCCCAATGTTTCACCCTGCCCAGGAATCGAACATAGGTCCCCTCACTTGCAATGCGAGTGCTCTAACCACTAAGCTTCAGGACTCCCAAATAGAATGATACTCCTCATAACAAGCAGCACAGTCTCAGACAGGGTCACCAGCTTGCTTTGATATCTCTGCCTCTGTAACTGTGGTCCCTGGTTGTCATTCACCACGCCTGACTGATCGTCACTGAATTAAGAACGCTGATCGGGGGTTAAGCAACAATTAGCAAGCTTGCCAAAGTCACCATATTCAGCTCAGTTTTTTCATTAAAACTGAGCACTGATTCCTCGCAGGCAGCTTGTAGTTCCAAGCTGAGATGAAAGGATATGACTGTGGCTGAGCTAAATGCACGGTTGTGGGTGGCGCACTTACTGTATGTTCACAGCACAGACTACAAACACTCGGTCAACTCCCCGCAAACAGATTGATGAGAGCACATGTCACAGGAAGAGGCATATCCACAACACAACAAAATTAAAGCAATGTGTCTTCGTGGTCAATGGGTATTGTTACACAGCACTAGCTTCGTTGATTAGTTTAACTATATTTTACAAAATTCATCATTTTAACATCATAGGAACAGGAGTAGGCCATTCAGCCCCTCGAGCCTGTTTCACCATTCTATAAGATCATGGTTGATCTGTACCTCAACTCCAGTTACCCACCCGATGTCCATGTCCCTTGATGCCCTTACCTAACAAATACCTATTCATCTTTAAAAGCAACTTCTTGAAATGCATAAGACGGTGGAAGCTGCACTTACAATGTTATCGAACTAAAGATGAGAAGAGAATTTTTTTTAAAAAATAGAGTAACTATATCATTTAAGGTAATTAACTGAATGTGACATCAGTTCAGGGAACTGCAACTCCCAGTAACACATTCCTTACTAAACAGAAAATAAAAGCCTCTCGTAAATATTCCACGGCCTTTCACCCACCATTGTGAAATCTTAAACACAATTTTAGTAGAAATCCTACATGCACTAACGTAGTTATATGTGCAAATGTACTTTAGAGCCTCGAAGACTTGTTACTTAGGAACAGCATTTTCAACAAATGACCAGAGCTTTTGTGTGGACAAACCCTAGTTCTGATATTAACAATGAACTTGGGTCAACTGAGAGTTAGATTAGCTTTGATATTGATATGTTGCCTAGTACAACATTACTTCTTTCCAGTGACTTGAAAAAGCACAATTTATTCCCTTTCATCAGCAAATTTTGCAGTATGTTGTACAATGAACACCCATATCACAGATTGTAAATTGCCCCCCTACTTCTTCAATATCAATGAACAGTGTCCATTCAACGTTCTGGAGGCAAATCAAAATACAAATGCATAACACGGTATCAATCTTCTATTTTTTGTCTGGATCACTGAGGAAACAGTTAGATGATTAAAGTACCGTTGGACACATTTCTACTTCGTTGAAGAACCAGGGAATGTAGCATTTACAGTGCATCGAAGCTAATGTCTCCAATTCAATGCCACTCAGTGAAATATCAAGCATGACTTCTGGATTCACACAACTCTTTTCAGGCGAAAAGCCCTACAGAATGATACATTCTCATGCCAGATGATCAGAACATTTCAACTTTCCATCAAATTGTTGGCAACACTCCCAGTGAAAGTGTTCTTCTAACACAGAAGAGAATGGGTCAAACAGCTGCGTGAGAAGACAAGACAGACTTTCCTCATTATCCACCATCACCATTCCCCCAGATAATTCCAAATCAAGATAAATTATTTGAGATTTGTTTGACATAATATTCGAAGTGCCCTTCTTCTGTAATAAGTCTGTACAGTTATATCACTTTGTGATGTCTCAAAGCGCTCCACGGATATTACTATAAAGTGAACTGACTGTATTTCGTGGCTGAAAAGCTGCAATGTAGCCCTGACCTTGTGCAAAATGTACATTTCTTGTTGATCAAAATTATTTCAATGTTTTACAGACTTCTTTGTATCTGCTAAACTATCCTTGAACAGAGATCATGCAAAAGCTAGGTAAAACAAACTCGACTTGAGTCCCTATACAACACATATCAATTTAATTTGTTCCTTTTAGAGCCATTTATTACAACTACACTCCCTAAAATGCCCTGCGTCACTCCTTCACTCAATACTCCACTGAATCATATCAGCCATATTCTCTGTAAATGTCAGCAGATGTGCTAAAGCATTAGTGAAAATGTGGACCAATACAGTTTCTGAATGCATAATCTGGAAAAGATCACTGTTGCCATTTTTATCCAATTTAAATGGGAATCCAAATTATATCAGGTATCTCTGAGCAGAGCAATCAGAAAGGTAATAATCAATATATTATTCAGCACGACGGGGTGACATATTTCAGTCTTCTCCTGCTAAGTATTGTTTTTGTTGCATATTATAATGGTTTGTATGATTACTTGCAATTTCCTTTCATTAGATGATTTTAATAGATGATTCACTAGAGGAACTCATCTATAGCTGGATCATCTAATGAAATAAAATCACAACTAAGTAACATGGTACTTGGTGAATTGAGCACAGAACCCAAATTACTGCAAATCGCCACAAAGGGACAATTCGACAAGAGCACATTCATCTCAAAATCCT